ACCAATGTCATAAAACAACATGTGTACTACTGTTTCATGAGAAACTATTTGTTCTGTAAGCCTTCACCTGAAGTACAATAAAAAAAAAAAAAGAGTTGGCCATTAAAAAGAAAAATCATTTGGGAAACATAAAACAAAAAGACCAATTAAATCAGAATATCTGAAGGTGGAGGTCTGGTATTCTTTATTTTTAAAAGTTCCCAGGTTATTGTCTAGGCAAGGTGGAGAATTGTTGGCTTAGATTTATCGAATTTCAAAATCCAGACAGTGGGGCTAAGAAGGGACCCAGCCCCCTCAGAGGCTCATGGCCACTTGATGCCTGAACAAAACCTGGGTCTTAGTCAGGAGGAGGGCTGCGGGATGGGTGGTCATTTTGTCCTCTCTAACTGGCTGCCATTTTGTGTGGTGGGAATTGAAGTGTCCCTGGCAGTATAAATAAAGGAGCTGTTGCATCTGCAGATGTATGTTATCATGGTGGCTAAGGAATATTCTCTTTTGTTTGGGCAAATAGTCATGTTTTATTCAAGGTGCAGTGGGTTTGTGGAGTCAGGGTAAAATGTTGTGGTGAGTTAAAGCTTTTGTCTTTTTACTTTACGAAATCTATGCTGCTTTGTTTCAGCAGACTGAGCGAAGATTGAAAAAAGAAAAATGATTCTCATTCCATTTCCATGAGGGCTGTGAGTAGCAGAGTTTCCTAGGATTTTGGCATATAACGTTCTTTTTAGTTTGCAATATGGTTTTAAGTTTTTTAATTCTTTCCATCTTTATTTCACTATTTCCCAATATTGTCCAAGGTTCAGTGGCTTGAGACAAGGAAATGTGTCTGTGTTCGCCATTGTATGCCCATTGTCAGGTATGCCTATGGAATAGAGTAAGGGCTCAACAAATATTCAGTGAATAAATGAATAGATTTCTCTGCTGTGATCAGACCAGTCTAGTCACATGCTGAGCTCAGATACTAGTCTCTTGACTCTGTGCTTTTGTTCGTGCCACTTCTTCATCGTGTAATAATCTCACACCACCCTTACCCCAATCTAACTATCTAAATACACTATTCTTAAAAACCAGCTCGAAACACTTCTCATCTGTGAGGCTTTCTTTGGCGTCTCTAACATGCCTTCTTATCATATTTAACTGACAAAACCACCTACAGTCAGTGGTCTTCCTATTCTGCCCGTGTACTGTTGCAGCTGAAAGTGGCTAGACAAAAATATTTAAAATTCATGACTGCTCAACTTAAGTGAATTTGACAACAAAACGACAATTTCTTAGTCTATTTATTCTCCCCCTGTAACAGGAATGAACAGAAGGGAATTTTCACATGTCCCTACCCGTATCTACTCACCTACTGTCTTCTCTTCTGTAATTCTGAGTGAATTGTCTGTATTTCTATATGTGGCTTTAGTGGGTTGAATTTTTTCTCCAAAAAAGATAAGTTCAAATCCTAATCCCTTCTACCTGTGAATGTAACCTTATTTGGAAAAAGAGTCTTTGTAGATAGAATCAAGTTAAGATGAGGTCATCCTGGATTAGAGTGAGCCCTAATCCAATGACTTGTATCTTTATAAGAAGGAGAGGGATATTTAGATGCGGAGACACAGTGGAGAATCAAGGAAGAAGGCCATGTGAGAATGGTGGCAGAGATTGGAGTGATGCAGTTATAAACCAAGAAACACAAGATTGCTGGGAGCCACCAGAAGCTAAGAAGAGGCGTGGAAGGGTTACTCCCCTAGAGCTTTTAGGGGCAGCATGGCCCTGCCAATAGCTTGGTTTCTGATTTCTGGCCTCCAGAACTGCGGCTGGCAAACAAATGTAGAAGCTGTCCGTTACTTGCAGAAAAATATGGTGAGATCATATTGTTCCTCTGCTCAAACCCTTCCACTGTTTCCCATCCAATACAAGGTAAAAGCCAGTGAATTCTGAATCACCTCTAAGGCCCTGTATTCTGGAACTCTGGCTCTTCTTTTGCCTTATCCCCTACTTTTCTTGATATCATTTGTTCTAATCTAGCTACAGAGTTCTTCTTGCTGTTCCTAAATACACCAGGTTCCTGCATCAGGGCATTTACTTGCTGTTCCCTCTGCCCAGGACACTTTTCCCAAAGATTACCACATAACTTACCCTGCCACCCACTTCACATCTTTGCTCTAATGCCACCTTATGAAGGAACCTTCCCTGACCAACCTACTCAAAATACCCATTGAAAGCCTCTCTTCCCGTCACTGCTTCTTCCCTTCTCTGCTTTGGTTTCTTTGTTTATCATCATGACCTGCTATAGTATATATTTTACTTATTTATTTATTTTATGTTGTCCTCCAGAGGAATGTAAGCTTCACAAAGGCAGAATTTCAGTCTTTATTATTTATAGCTGGACTCACATTGCGTGGAACAACAGCACTTGGCATAGAGTTGGCATTCGATGAAGATTTGCTTATGAATAAACTGTCAAGTGCCTTTACCTGTAGAGTGAGGGTAGCAATACCTACCCTGCGATTCTCTTGTATGCGTTAGTGATAATGCACGTAAGGTAATTATCACAATGCCCAATACATAGCAGTTGCTTACAAATTATAGCTTTTATTTTTTATAATTAGGGCTTTTTTATAATTAGTCCAAAGCATACCCTTGTTTCATTTAATTTCCCATTTACAAAGAAATAATTCAACCTTTTATGTACAAGGCATCATTTGTACAGGGTATAAGAGAAGGCACAGTCCTACTTCTTTTAGGTATGACAGAAAAACATGGGGAATATTTTTCATTCCAAATTCTGAAATGAACACTATTGAAATTTCTAGAGTGTTTCCAAGTATCTCAAGTTGGCTGATACGAAACCTTTTCAAGAAAACATAGTAAATTCACTTGTAAATTCCTCCCAGAATGGCTTTCTGTATTAGACTAGTGAATTGCTATCTAAGTCACATATTATTCTGGGAATCTGAATATCTCTAAAAAATGTAGATCACAAACTTTTAGATTGCTGATTGCTTCAAAGATACAAATATATCTCTATCTATGCACACACATACACACAGGCACACACACATAGGTGTATTTGTATGTGTATATCTTTACCTATAGTTATCTGTGGCTATTATGTCATCCACAGCTGCACATTATCAGTATGTACATCTGTGTCTATCTATGTAAACGTTCATATGTGAATCATTATTATTATGAAGTATTTAAACCTACAAAAACAACAGAGAAAATATAATGAACACAATGTAATTTATCTTTGACTTCATCAAATCCTAACATTTTCCCATATTTGATTCAAATATTGTTACTTCTAAGTTAAATACCACAGATGTTGTTTAACCCCCCCATTTTTCTTCCGTATTCTGTTATCCCTTCTCTTTGTCCCCAGAGATAATCTTGAATTGGTTGTTTCTCAGTATTGTGCATTTATGATTGTTTTAAGCATTACAACTATTAAATCCTGAATAAAATTCACAGATATGGTTTGTTTCCTCTTCAGATTCACATTAGAACAAAACAAAAAACAAACAGGAGATCTCATTTACAACTCTGGTTTTCCACCTTCTCTTGAAAACTCAGCAGCCAGCTGGAGCTGCGGGATGGTTATCTCCATATCAGTACAATTGCATTTAATGTCTATTAACTTAAATTGGGCCTGTTTCATTCTTTTATTTTTGCATACGTGACTCCTGTTCTTTGAACTTTAACCTATTTAAAATAGTTTCTTCTTGCTCTATTCTTCTGCCTTATTTCTATCTTAACTCATTGTGTTTTGCATTTGTCCTTTAAAGATTATTCTTTTGTTGAAGAAGACGGAAGCGAAATTGGGATTTTCCTCTTCACGTTGTCACCAGTGACCAGTTTACCTAACTCCCCAGGCAGTGGGCCTGTTTTTCCGTATTTTTCTTTTATTGAACACAGTGCATGATGCCTCTTCTCTTTGTCTTAGCATGTTTTCATGAGACTGGAATTTTCTGGAGTTGGAAGACGCCCACACCCCCCTCTTCACCCATTGAAAGTTTCCTTTTAAGTTATTAAACTAAACCTTCAAGGATTATAATCCTCAAATCACTGACATTCTGTAGATTTGGTAGACTTTTTACTTTATATTTGTCATAAAAAGACATTCTTAACCCTGGAATGGGTAATGAATAAAGTTAGAGACCCATAGTTTTATACTTCAAAACCTATGGTGGAGAAAATTAAATCCAATGGCAAAGAAATCTTTTAAAACATTTTACTTATTCACCATATTTTGAGAATTGTTAATGGTCATCAGAGAAAGTACGATCCCCAACCCATCAGGAAACAGTCAACAGTGCATCACTTCCTGGTTTTCCTGTTGTCCTTAAAAGGGAAGTAATTTCCTGATCTAGCCCCTAAGTTCTATATTGCAAATTTCTAAAGAATTTTAGTAGGCAAGTGTAGTATATTTATTTTTTATATATCGAATACATAAATATATTTATTAAAGGAGAAAGGGGAAACATACTAAGTTTGATTTCTTTAGTCTCCCCACAGTCCTTCTGGAAAAAGGAGGCCTCAGTGTTCTTGGTGATGTTTATGTGCCATCTGTCCGCTTTTTAATGAGGAGCTTGTAATCATTTAACTGCAAACTTTTAATCTGCGAGGACAATGATAAAGTAATTTTACTTTCTATCCCAACATATTTTCTTAAAATTCTGCATTTTGGGGAAAAAAATTTGACTTCTAGAAATGTAGATCTGAGTGTGACTTCAGTCAAGGATTGAGGGCCATCGGGCTTTCTTTTCCTGGCAAGTTAGTATGTTCTAAAATACAAGACACTCCATTAAGGATGTGAGTACATAGAACATATAACATACATTTTAGTAAAGTTATATTGCTTTCATTATTGCTCTGTTTTTGTGGCATTACAGAGGCTTAAAAAGTTCAAACTGAATATTGAAACTAAGTGTACGCCGAAGAAAAGATTCACATCAGCTTTGTTTTAAAAGAAACAGTATTTATTAAGAAATTATATGTTGAATTCTCCTACAGTCTGTGAAGATGGTTTCTTCCATTTCCACAGCACAAGACAACAACTAACAGCGTCTGGAAAACACTTGGAATGTTTGGGCATGGAGAATTCCTAGTAATAGGAGATGAAACGCAGTGACTTATGTACTAATTTAAACTTCTGGATCCAAAGAAAAGATAATCTTTTCCTTGCCATCCTAGTTCTCACCTATACGAGCACTGAAATCTCTCCATGGGATCTCATAACCTGGTTTGAAATATTAGGTAATAATTAGGTCATTTCAGTTCAGTAGAGTGGAGCATGCTCAACTTAGTCACAGGTCAAAGCAACAGTCCTTTAACTATTGTATGACATCTCAAATATTTGCATTCTTCATTAATAGAAATGGTGCTTACACAGAGCAGAAATATAACTTTTCAAGTATTTTATCCATATGAATTATTTTGAACTATAAATTAAAAATAAATTATAAAAACTAGCATATGATGTATCTTTTCTTACACGAATGTTGGAGATAAGCTTTAAATGTAGAATTGTAATATCACTTGACTTTATAGATGATCAACAGTAAAACATGCTAATCATAAAAATAGCTTTTACAAATATACATTTGTATACAGTGTCTCCCTTATCATTCATAAATGTCCTTCACATTTTATGACTTTTAAGACTTTAAAACAAATCAAAACAAACATAATTATCCAGGGAAAAACACATTTACAATCTAAACCATAAAAACCTGACAATTGTACAGCTTAGAACAGAGAAGAGATAGAATTTCTAAAATTGAACAGTACTGTCCATTTGATTTGTTTGGGTTTTTATATAAATTGAACCAAAGATGTTGCTATCCAGTAAGAAGCCTCTTTTCACATCTCCGGGGGTTGTCACAGTTTCTCTTCTCTGCTTTTACGGTGTTCACACATTACTTCAAATCACTTTATCTGTAGAAACTGAGAAAAGAAAAAAATATTTTAAAATACAGAGGTTTGTGTTTCATTTTTTAATAGCATGCATATATATGTTCAATTTTAAGGCCTAATCAGGATAAAGACAGAGGAAGAATTAGATCTTTAGAGCAAACACTTTCGATGATACATTTTTAGATCCCTTGTTGTAGCCAATACTAAAATTATTTACATTTATGCCATGCTGTGATTTTTTTGGTTAATCTAGACAAAATACTGCTTGAGATTAGCAATTACTTTTCAACTTGAGCTCTTTTGTAAATCGGAGAGAAATCACTTGAAGCTCTAGGCTAGGGAAAGAGATTGCGTTGCCCATGAATCTTTGCTGCCCCTAAGAAGAATGATCATAGGTTACTTTTCTCCTCTAAGAGGCTTTGAACAGTTCAGTTCTAAGCCTTATGCACCTGGGGTACGAGAAAAAGCTAATACGGGTCTCTGATCCGCGTTACACAATCTTGGTTGCAAAGGAAGAAAGCCAAAAGCAAGAAGGACAGTGAAGGACTTTAAGGTGAGTCAGAAACATTATATAAGAGCCAGAATTCAAGTGGTTGAAGAATTGAATTGAGACGTTGAATATGAATCTGAATATAATAAATTATATAAAGTAAAATCCTGTAAGTGGAGAAAGGCATTTATTTTAGAATCAAGTTCAAGGTCTTTATATTTAGACAGAAAATATAATTACATCTATTGCTATCCAATCAACTTCTAAGGACTTCGGAGTTAGACAGAAAGTCTGTGTATGTTTTCAGAGTCAAAGATGATCAATTAGGGTATTGATTTGGATGAGAATTGATTACTCCTATCAATAGCCAGTTAATTAGTTAACTTGACCTTTTATTAAAGTTTTGACACTCATGATATAGAGATTATGAAAAAGACTGAATATGGGGTGGTAAGAATTGCTCTGGATGTCTGCAGCTCCAGCTTTCATGCCTTATGCCTGACCAAGATTGCTGGTTGAAAGAACTCAGCAAACCTGGTTGATGATTTCTCTCCCTTCATAGGTATATATCTTCAAACTAAGAAATATATACATCTAAATAATTTCAGTTAACTGAAACACTGTCTTTTTTAGTGAATAAATATCTTTTAACTCTAGGAAGATTTAGAGTTAAATATAAATGTATATGAAAACAGGAACTGTAGTACTAATATGTTTGTGTTACGAAGAAATCTGTGAACATCTGGTGCCTCTTGGGTTACTTATGAGAATTTGGCTTATTAGAGTGACAGTCTTATAATTTCAGTTTAGAATGTGTAATTGAAAAATTGATTGAGAAATAGGATTTCGGTTTTCTGATTTGAAATCTTGCCAAGTTTGTGCATGATATTGGAAAATCTAAGAAAACTTAAGGTCATCATATTGATACATTTCATTTATTAGATTTTAAGAATTATTTCCTTGTAAGAAAGATTTTATGTTAAATCAGACAAATGAAATACTTAAAAAGAAGATGTCAAATATATTAAATTTACAAATACTATTTACAATGCTTGAATACATTTAATTTACTAATCTGGGACTATCATTATTCAAAGACCTCTTAAAAGTACTTTGTAAAATTTGCCATATTTATAAATATAATCCTAATAATAAATGCCTAACAATTTTGATTTTAAAACTTTAATGAATCAAGCAAAATTAAAAATAAATCAAATATGCTTCCTCAATTGTCTTTTCTACAGTCAAAAGCATTAAATCCTTTTATTTGTAGGAAGAAAATGTCCATGGCTAAAGCACAAGCACATTCTGATACTTTGGTATTCTCTCTCTCTGTTTCTGCTTCCCTCCCTCACTTCCTCTTTCCTTTCTCTCCCTTTCTTCTTTCTTCCTCACCCAATCTATACTGATCGCACATATTTCTATCTTTAAAAATGGAAATACTTTACGAGTATACTCCTCTTACAGTTCCAGTTTGTGTTCACGTGTACGTGAAAGGTCAGTTAGTCTTTAAAGCACAGAGGTTTGAGTTTATGGTGCAAAGTAGGCAGGCTACTTTTGCGTAATGTAAAGGAAATTTTGTGTGTTACCTGCATTCACATCCCCCAAATTATCCATTTTCAGCGTGAAAATGAGTAGCTTACATGAAATCAAACTGAACTAACCTATAGAATGATTGATAACATTTGTGTGCAGGAAGAAAATAAGGCTCTTTATATGATTGCAATTACACTGTTTCCGCCAAGGTCTCTATTGTTTTCCTTATTACTAGCGGAAAATATCTAAATGGCTGCAGTGCCTGTGTCTATGAAGCTTAGTAATCATTGTTGTATTTCTCCAGGTTAAATCATGGCAGGTGAAATCAATTTAATATATTCTAATACCATCCTGCACATTGCAAAAGAGATAATAATTGTTCAGCAGCCCTCCATTTTGTTAAGGAAAAAAAAAAACAAAAACAGCCTGTCATGCATATTCTATTACCTCAAGTATGATTTATCCTTACACCTTCCTTCGTTCCTTTATTGTAAATGATTATATAAAAATAATAATCCTGGGAAGAGGAAAGGCGGGTTTGAAAATAATTTATTGAGGTTTTACTTCCTTGCCATAAAACTTCAAAGCATTTGCCTGTTACTGGAACAAAACAAAAGCTTCATTAACTTTGTTTTGTAAAATAGGTGTTATTAACCATATGGATACAAGTCAAGAGAATAATTCTTCTTATCCAAAAATAGTGGCAAAATGTATTCACAAAGCTTTCCATGGAAGTTCCAGTCTTAGAAAAGGATTGCTGTTGACTTCTAAAGGACGGGGTAAACGGGAACAAGCTAGGACATTCTTGCTACCTTTTTCTAAGAACTGACAGTCACTGAAGGAGCTGATTGGTTTAGTATAATGTGAAACTAATTGTGCTTTCCTTCTCTTGAATAGTGGATAATTTATCTACTGGCTGTATGAGAGCTTGGATGTTTTCAAAACAAATTCTCCTGATGATGAATGCTTTTTCAACTCTCAATCTCGCCCATTTCTGAACAACAACAAAAAGAACCACTCCGATGGGAATGGATTGTATTGAGTCAAGCAATTTACTTCTGTTTGATGGAGATGAAAAGGATAGTATTAATTTACAGGGCAAGTACATTTAATTTGAAACCTCATGCATTAATACGTTTGAAATAAATAGGTACAGCAGTATGTGGAATAAATATACATTATTTACAGCTCTACCAAAAAATTATACTTTTAAAGAAGTCTTGTGATTTCTTTAATGTCAGAAATGCTTCTGTTTTTTTTTCTAATTGATATTTATAAGACGTAATTAGAAAAATCTAAATAATCTGTATTTTTAGGTAGTATCTACAAAAGCAAAAAAAAAGTGGAAGAAAATATGTGGATAATAGAGGCCTTATAACTTTTTATAGAAAGTAGAGACTTATGAACAGAAATTATATTTGTCGTCACTATTTATCACATTTATTGGTAATTGTTCAGCCATTCATTTGTTTTAGACAATGTCAATAAATTTGGCTTTTGCAAATCACTTAGTACAAATGAGATACAATTCAATTCAAATTCCTAAATACGCAAATAGATTCCCAGCATCTATTATTCATTATAAGTTAACATTGTCTTCTATTAATAAGCTGTTGGGGCCAAAATTATGTTACAATTTTCGGCTAAACAAGCATATTAAAAAAAACCATAATGAAATGCCCACCCAGGGGGCTAGTAACTTACTGGAATGGCTATAAATGAAGGCGACTGATTTCTCCATTATGCAGTTCTTGGAAGCTGAATAGTCTCCCTTCCTTAGCTGATGGTCTTTTAGGGAGTATGGGGGTGGGGCAGGGAACATAGGAGAGAACAAAAGTGTAGTAACCCACCAGAAACTTGGAATTGAGACTATCAGATTAACTTCCGAGACTTTCATTCTAAAACCAAGACTTAACTGATCAGGGCAGAAAATATGCGATGTCATTTAAGAAAGGCAGGAAGACTTGCCGGTCTTTGAGCCTTGACTGGAACATAACTGAAGGTATTAAATCAGACAAAGAAAGAATGTGTTGATAGGAAGGAGATTTGTTTAGCACAATAAATACAGAAAAATGGGATAGTCTTGGGGGGCAACTTGCTTGTGTCCATCCAAGATCAGTCCACAGGAGAGAGTGTCCAGGCCCCAGAAGGGAACCTGGCCTGTGGCGACAGGTCTATTCCTATTGTTGATATGGACACATCCGGTGATCTTAGAATATTCCATTGCATAACCATGCTCACCAAGCAAAACTTCTGATTATAATTTCTATTGGAAGAGAACGCTCAGGCCAAAGGATGCGAGATTAATCTCCTTTTCAGTTTTTTATCTTACTGTAAATTCATAAACAGATGATATGATTTCATGCAGCAGTCTATTACAGATTGGTTACTTCACATTTGTCTGAAGTACTGTTCCTCAGCCACCATGCTGATACATCAGGATTGTGAGGCTGTGAACCTAGCTCTAGACGCTCGGCTCTGGAGGACTATAATGAAACTGTATGGTAACTGTCAAGTTGCTGGCTTCTCTCTCTTGGCTTTACTAATACTTGCCATGTGCATTTCAAGATCTTCAATATAAGCAATATTTATAACAGTACATGTCAAGGCATATAGGACTCCATGGAATTTGAGCAATAATGGCATTTAGAAATTATCTAACCCTCTCCTGTCATAGGTGAAGATATTAAGGCCTAGACAGGTTGAATGACATGCTCAGGTAGTTGGTGGAACAGCCCTAACTAGACCCAGAATACTTACTGCAATCAGCAATTCTTTCTATTACACCTTTGGGTTCTCAGACTTTAGTGGGCATCAGAATTAACGAGTGGGCTTTGCTAAAACTCAGATTGTTGAATTTCTGATTCACTAGGTCTGGAATAAATGAGACCCATGAATTTGCGTTTCTGGTAAGTTCCTGAATAATGATGATGATGCTGGTCTGGGAACCATTCTTTGAGAACCACTTCACTTCACAGTTAGGAGGTAGTTCTCTGTGGGCCTC